ATTCTAATTTGACATAAGATGTATGTTTTCTAAAAAAGACTACTCCTGGTATCGCTCAGGTTTATTTTTGAAAAGATGCATACTTAAGATGATTACTTTTTTGTACTAGAGCTACACAACTGAAACAAAAATAAGGCACAGCAATCTATCAGATATTTTGTATATATGTACAAGTTTTAATTCTTGTCCCTTGATTTTGCATTTGAAGAAAGCATCAGGAGCAATTTTTGAGTCTCCTAGAACATGGCAGTGTTCTGAAAAGCCGTGTGTTTTGTATTTTCTAATTAAGATTGAAATCAGACATGTAATCCAGTTGTCACCAAGGAACTGAGACTTGAAAAATCAGAGAGGTGTTGGTTTTTTTTAATTGTCCTTCTATGTCATTCTGTGTGGCTACACTTCATCTAGACTGATAGACAACTCAAACCGAAAGGAATCACAGTTATCAAATAGATACTGAAAAGCATTATTGGTTCACTTTGAGAGAACAGAGTTTAAAATTAAAACACTCAAATTTGAGACTTCAGCTGGTGACAGAAGTGTACCTTGGCCCATCAAAAAGCAGGAATGCACAACACTATCTACAGTCTTGGAAAGTCACTGATGGTTTTTGCCCCTTCACAAGGCAAAAGAAAGAAAGGGCCTACAGTAATGTTCAAAGTCTTAAGGCACATTCTAAGTTTGCCTTATTATTGTTGCAGTTAGCTACCTAGTTTTCCTTCTGACACACTACAGACAGAAAGGGAACCTTTGGGGTCTAATCTGGTGTTTCTTAAAGCTCCCACTGAAGTCCACAAAAGTGTGGCATACCTGCAGACTATACCATCAGACCCTCAATTACTTCATTACTCAGTGAAATCTTACCTAAAGATTTAATTACTAAATTATAATAATAATTATAATTATATTACTGGAACAGGTATATACTACCCTATTTTTACTTTTTCTAATCTGCAAAATGTCAGGAATTTGCACAGACCATTCTTTGAGGAGAAATACTAAAGAAATGTTAAGTTGTCTGGATATCCAAAAGTACAAAATAAAGCATCTCCTCATGTGAGTGCTGAAAGTTTTAATATTCAGACTAATCTTTCTGTTCTACAGCTAAGATGTTGGATTTCTAATCTCTCAGTAATCTTTTTTCATAAAAGACGTGCATATATTTCTATTTTAATGATATATTAGGAATTATGATCTGTATATTATTACCTCTGAGCTACAAAAACATATGAACAAATATCAAAAAAACTGTTCCCACAAAAGCCAGTGGAAGGACAGTTATAAATTTCTATGGGAGAATTACTAGGCTTCAAAACAGGTTTGTATTCAAGGAAGAATTCTATGTCACCAGGTGAGGCCAGCTACAAAAGAAGTGTAATTAAAATACAAAATGTTACATTATGTTCAAAGAAAGTTTTAAAATCTCCAAATTTTATAATTTGTCATGTTTTTCAAATTTAAATAGCTTGAAATATGAAAAAAAATGATCATCAGACATGTTAGGCTGAACACAGAATTCAGGATAGGGCCTGGTATGTTTCGTTGAACAATAATAAATTGTCTGTGCTGGGAAACCAAACTTAAACTGCAGCTGCAAAGGCTTTTTTCCCCCTCTTTTCTTATCTTTTTTTCCCCTTACTAATCTGGTTCAGCCAGGGCATAGCTGTAATTACCTTCTTTCCATCTACAGCTAATACCTCAGAGCAATAAAAAAAAACGAGGGTGTTAAAAATTCAAACACTAATTATGGGCTGTTATATTTACTAAACACAGCAGAGTAATAACAAAAGTTTCAGCTTTCTGTGGCCAACACTACACTATTTGATCTACCAAGTCCCTGGACCCTTTACACTAACTATATTACATAACAGCTAATAGCGCACTAAAATAAAATTCAATAAACACATTTATTACCAAACAAGTACAGCACAACAACTTTCAGCTGTCTCCTTTTTTTCAGCACAGGTGTATCTCTGAAGAGTTCATTCCTTTGTTGTTTTTGGGTTTGGTTCCCAATTAAGTTATATAAATTGCAGAGCAGTAGATTTTGAAAGGGGGAGCATGCAATATTTGAGTACCCCGTTTAAAGTGTTATGGTAAATATTGGCTAATCCTACAATTCTTTCTGTTACTTTCCTCCATGCCTGTTTCAAGGTCTAGAAAAACAATAAAGCTGAGAGCTGCCTTAGTTCCTAATTCAGGTCTGCCACTACTACCACCCCTGACATTCACATTAAACGCACACAGGGTAGCTTTACACCACTAATAACAATACAGGGGTATGGATTTTTGGGGTGTCAAACAGCTGTCACAAACTGTCACCTCCACAAGAGAAACCCTGGCACACAACAAATTAACCTACACTTCTTTTGAGCTATCATTATTCATAGCCAATCAGTTGAAATGCTCCTAGTATTTCATGTGCAAATAAAACCATGAGGGGAAGACCCGCAGATCAGAATAGTGGGCCAATACATAAAACAGAGGAAACAACATGCTGTCTCTGTCCTTCTGAAGTGGCTCATCATCACCCCTACACCAACTTTCACCAAATGAGATCTAGCCTAAGGCTATGTATTAAATATGCATATCAAGGCAAATGAAAAAAAAATAAACCTAGAGAGCCAAATTGGACAAATTTACATGCTTGAACTGCTACATTTTCAGGTAGATGCTCAGAAATTATAGTTCATTTTTTAATAGACTTATGTGTTTATATCAGCTATTTTTTAATAGTTTTTTTTTCTTTTCTGTGAATAAAGATGCATTTCTTTCTGCTGAAACATTGTACAGTGCAAATATAAAACATGGTAGTTTGACTAAGCTATAAAAAGGTGTTAAAGTTTTGTCAGGAAAACAAGTTAATATAAAAAAAAAAAAAAAAATCCAATAAGGAGACACATTTCCCAAAACGCATGAATAAAATGTAACTATGTGATACAACTCTTCATTTCCCAGTTGGTGTTCTGGTTGCACAAATTATTGCTTCCTTTCAAAACAAATAGCAGGGGGCTAAAGTAAAAATGTTATAGCTCAAATCTCCAGGAAGTAAAAGGCTTTAAATTATAATACCCAATGAAGTGGTAAACCCTAACGGGTGCAAGACAAATGAGTTGTCATATTTGAGTTTATTTGAGTTTGTTTTAGGGGACACAAAAGCAAGAGGAGATTCTTCTTAGGGAAGATAATAGTTACCAAATTATCAAAATGCTAACCCACTCCACTCCTGTCCTATCATTGTGTATGAATTTAAATATTATAATGGAGCACTGCAAATTGGCTTGAGCATTTGCCATCTGCCAGAACCCTAAACAGGCTAGTTTATCTAATCTCTTCAATATAAACATAAGCATGCTCCATTTCTACACTTCCACTTGAAACACACTCTTGTAAAGAAACTGTATTGGAGAAGCATGTATTTTTTTTTTTCCTGTTTCTCTAAATTTTACACAGTGAGTCACTATCTTTCAGGTTGCCACTCATTTCAATTTCTTTTATAGTACTCTCCCAGAATACTTATGCCCACGAATTTAAGGTTGTAAAATGCCATGAAACAAATATTTTTGAAATTGTGTCATGCCTCATGGAGTTTATTACCTACATGTGAGTTAGCTGATAAGGAGAGAAACTTTAAGGAAGATCTGCATACTTTTTTTTCCTCTCAAAATAATAGATTTAAAATGTAAACATAGCACAAACCTTGTCATGCAATGTTTACTGAATACAAATGAGAAAATGAAAGCTAAGGCTTGGGTCCAAAAATATTTCCCGTAACTAAGCCACGCCAGAAGGGGGACATTCAGAAGAATTTATTATTATTTTATCTCCCAATTCAGCTTTAGTCCAGGTCTAATGTAATTACCAAATACACACAAAAACAACATGTTTTCAAAGGAAACAAAAGCTCCTAGAAAGCTCATTCTCCCTGGGCTTCCAGCTACTCCTCTTAACACACTGGGAAATAAAGGCAGGCGCCTGTGCAGAAAGCATGGTTAACTTCACACCGGGTGTTAAATTAATATTTCAACTGCTAAAATATTAGACACTATCATTTAGATTATTAGTTCAATTGAATCTAAAACTGTATAAACCCCTTTGCCCCCCAGGGATGCATTCCTATAAAGAAAGTGGAATTCACACCCACCCTTTTTAACCAGAGCTGTTCCTTCCCTTTTCTGCTGCACCAGCTGCAATATTTCCCTCCACATCCCAAAGCCTCTCTGCATCTACATCCTTTGAAGGATCAGAGGAGCCACTCCAAAACCCGGAAAAACAAAGGCACTCTCCTTTTCATGCACACCAATGTTCAGTTCTACACACATTACACTAATTCACCAATTCCTAAAGTGTTAAAATCAACCGCTAACCTACGGTTACTCAATCATCATTCTCTCCAACTTTCTGTAATACATTGTTAATAATTGCTTCATCAAGGTTACTGTCTTTTATTATGAAGATGCTTCAGGCGTTTGGCAATAAGTCCATATTCTGACAATAAGTTGCTATAAAGCAAAAGCATTGGAAACTCTAATGTGCTAACCCCTTTTTTTAATGTAGTGTAGTATTGCCAATAATTCTCATCACTTGTCATCCCCACGAGAGGGGAGGGGGGAGCAAATCAGCAAACTTTCTTCCTAACTTTCTTGTCTGTGTTTCCTTACATTGATGCATTGATTACAAAGTTGGCAAAGAACAGGAGAAAGCACTGATCCCCACATCAAATCAACAGTTTGCTAGCTCTACAAGCCGCCCAGACTAGGAAACTTTACAAACCATTGCAAACTCGTTGCTTTACAGATGAAAACTGAAGGAGCCTTTTGCATTTCTACAACTTTGTGAAGTGAAAGGGAAGAAAGTTTGAAGATGGGATTCAAGCTTGCAGGAGGTTAAGGTAGTGGTAATACTAACAGACAACAGCAACAAAGCAAGGAAATCCAGAATAGGTCCTCTAAATAGGTTAAACACTTTAAAAGTATCATCAAGAAAACAGAAGGACTTACATGATCGGCTAAATTTGTGGAAGATCCTGAGAGTTCTTCATGGTCTGATTTGGAGCTGCCGTCCCTCTCATCAATAACGAGGTCTATTGGCATTTTTCCTTTCAAACAACTAATGTACCGATGGCAGAAATTATCACACAATTCATGAACCTGAAAAGAATAACAAGAATAACAGAATCAATAATGGCTAAATATCGTATTTCAGCGCTTTTTTTTTTTGTTAATAACAAGTTCAACCCTCTGATCTACTTCACAAGTAACTCTAATTAAGGGGGACAATAGTTGAAGGCAAGGAAACAATAGAGAAATTGTTGCAGCACATATTATTCTCTAGAGACTTGCTGCAGCAACAAGTCAGAGAGAGAGATAGTGGGCTCGGACTTGAGTGCTGAAGAGGATCGGATTTGGTGATAACATTGGAACACTGGGAGCTGGACCCAGGTGGTATCTCTGGAGCATACACAACCCAGACAGGTACAGCTAGTCACTCGGGAGGGGATCAGTTAAAACCGGGGCTAAAAAAGGTCTAAATGGCCGGGAGCAGTAAAATGAAGCTACTTGCTGAGGTTGTGGGAAGAGCCATTCTTGTCCCAGGGCACAGCCCCTGCCCACGCCTCGTAGGGGCCCCTGCCTCTTCCAAACATTTAGTCCTTCCTTGGGGTTAATGTGCCTGCCAGATCCGGAGAGGAAAACGAGTGGTTTCATTTCTTTTTGTTAAACATAATTTCTGATTGGGAAAAAGAGCTTCTACTGAGGAAAGGGGTAAGAAGGATGAAAGGTGTTTAATATTTAATATTAGTAAATATTGGAATTACACACACACAAAAAGGGAAAAAACGGCCTGGGCATGTCTGTCGGTTGTCACATGCTCTGGTGGCACAGGTTACAGTGTCACAATGCGTTACCCCTATCGTCTCTGGCCATGTTTACAAGTCAGACCAAACAGTCAGGAAGAAGGGAGCCGGGGGACGGGGCGGGGGGCGGGGGGCAGAGGGCGAGGGGAGAGGGGGCAGGGAATGGCATGACCCCCGCCCACCTCCGTGGCTCTTACCTTTTCTAATTCCAAAAGATGAAACCTTAGTACTTGTATTGCTTGGATCATCTGCAAGAAAGTTTTGAGCAAGAGGTTACGTGGGAGACAGGAGCACGGTGGCTGGGCAGAGCCGCGAGCCCGAGTGGGAAAGGGGGAGAAGGGGATTGTCAGGGCGCGCGGTCATTATACAGGATTTTAGTTCATTGGTCATGCTTTAACAATTTTGATCAACTTTAACCTAAACACTTGATTTTTGTCATATTTATTCCAGGAGCCGTGATTAGCGCTTTATTACCGCGATCTTCGAGAAAACCTCTTCCTCTCCTCGTTTCCCTCTCAGCACCCCGGCCCTTATCCCTGAGGGTTCGCAGAGAAGTCAAACACACGCTCCCACCCCCACCCCCGCCCGCAGGAGAAAGGGGGCTGAATGTGTGTTTGAATAGTTTGGCATCTTCTTTACAAGCGGATTTAGGCACTTTGAATATTGAAATCGTTCACATTAGCAAAAGAATTACATTAGAAATCTCCAGCTCTCTCTTCTTAAGCAGTTACTTCCTTCACTTTTAGCTTCCCGTGGCTTTCAAACGCGGCTTTGCAATGCTTTGGGGCTTGAGACTTTGCTCTGACTGGCTCTAAGAATAAAGCTCTTTGAAGCCTCTTGACGGCAACTTGCCGACCGGCCGGCGCCCCGCTCCCATGCCGGCGCAGCCCGGTGCCCGGCCCGGCAGCCGCTGCCCCGCCGCACCGCTCGGCCCGGTCCGGGGCAGAGGAGGGCGCCTGCCGGCAGCGGGCGGAGGGGTCGGGAAGGGCGAGAGGGGAGTGCGGTGAAAAAGGGAGCAGGCCTTACCAAATTGTCCAACTCTGGATTTGAAGAAAAAAGTGGTTTTTCGGCGCGGACCTACAAGAAGAAGGAAAAGCGGCGTGAACTACAGCTGCTGTCTTTACCCCCGTAACCCGATCGCCCGAAAGGGGAAAATCCCTTCGACAAAACCGGCCGGTACCAAAATCCGGCTGAACGCCTTGGGTCACCGAGCTGCGGAAAGGAGCCTGCTCCGCTCCTGCTGGTCCGGCACTGAGCCGGCCGCCGGTCCCACGGGAGCCTTCTCCTTTGGGTCCCCTGCCTGCTTCCCCTCCCGCTCCCTCTGCCTCCAGAACTCGGCCACAGCTACCTTTCCCTATCACTAATGCAGGAGGGCAAGGCCCGCGAGTCCCAGCGTGGAGGGGCTGCCGGCAGGGGGGTGGAGGTCAGGGCCAGCCGGGCCACCAGGGCGCACCCCCGCCCCGCCGGAGAGGGGGCGCCGGGGGAAAGGCAGGCTGCCCCTGCCAGCGCCCGGCCGTGCGGGTCGAGGCGCTGAGGAGGCGGCGGGAGCGCTGGCGAGGGTCGGGGGCGGGGGGAGAGGTGCCGGACCTGTTTAGCGAAGACGGCGATGTCTTCGTTGAAGGAGTCGGAGGAGCAGACGTCCCCGCCGGCCACGCCGGGCTCCCGGGGTGTGCAGGTCGCCAGCTCGCACTTCTCAAAGACCAGAGCTAAGAGGGGGAACAACGGGTGCCTACCGGGCGGTGGCACACAAAGAGAAGGGAGGGGGTGGGGGAGAGGGGGAAAGAAGAGCTATAATCAACAAGTATTTTTTTTTTTTTTTTTTTTTTTTAATGCACGGACACACGGACACAGCCACACTCTGTAGTTTCGCACTAATGCCCGGGGCAGAGCAGTGGAGAATCAGACTTTGAAATAAAAATACTGGTTTTGGTGGTGAGCTGGATGTTGTTGTTTTGGTTGTTTGGGTTTTTTTTTTAATTTTGAAATTTCAATGCCCGAACCACATTCCCCGTGCAGTCCTCCCCGACGAGGACAAAAGTAACCTCTCTAAACGCAAAAGGCACCGAACGTGCTCAGCAGCAGCTCAACTGAGAATGTTGCACTTTTGCCACAGCTTAAAATACCGCAAAACCTGGAAGATCCCATCCCTACCCTCCAGCTATGACCTAAAACGAGAGTACAGCTAGGCAAACTGCAAACTACTTAATACGTAATTTTATTTTTCAAGGGGCCTGCTAACAAAAATGTGGTGAAGTTTCCTGGCTTAGGAAGCACACCCAAGTAAAATACCATCTGTCCAGATAAGTGAGCTGGGAGGGGGTGGAGGAAGGGAGCACTTCGCGAAATATTTTCCCATAGTTGGTGTAGTCAGAAAAAAAATTATCTGCGTGCGAAGTAGTAAGCATGCATTTGTTTCTTTTCCCCTTTGGTGTCTGATCAAGGCCCCACACTTCGTTATAGATGTTACTAGCTCTCCTTATAGGATCAGTTAGTATTTTTTCCAAAAGGCATTGAAGGGAATCGGTGTCATTCCCTCCAAGCAAAGCCCTGGTGCAGGCTTGAGCTTTGCTGGGCATGGATTTCTTTTTCCTCATGTTCTTTCTTTCTTAAACAGAAAATTCAGCTCATTGCCCCAATGTATTTATGTCTTCTCTCTCTGGGAAGAGCTGTTTGCAAGAAGTGAATCCCTTTTATTCTTACTACCTTCCGCGATGTGAATAGCTCTTTATTTACGAAGTTGGAAGAGTGGTATTATGGCACAGAGGAGAACACCAGAACAACACTTCTCCAACTAAAATCCAGAGCAATGAGAGTCTCTAACTCCTACGTGAGGCCTTGCCAAGAAACAACAACAACAAAAAAAACCCCACGGGTAAGAAAAGAACACCCCCCCCCCAAAAAAAAAAAAAAAAACCACAAAAAAACCCACAAGATCGAAAAAAACTCGAATAAATAAAAAAAGAAAAATGGAAGGACAAGGCAACACTACCTCTCTCCGACCCAGTCTCTCTTCCCAAGAGGTCTGTTTTCCAGCACTCATTTCCCGTGGGTGCTGGCACCTCAGCCGAGTCAGGCTGGGATCGCCCTCGTCCCGAGATCGCCGGCCACGGCAGTGCCACCGCGCGGGTCTCCCTCCTGAGCGGGCTGCTGGGGGCTGCCCTGCCGCCGTTCTTCCCTGCGGACTCTCCGGGCTCCCTCTCCCCACTCCGCTCCGGGGCCCGGCTGGCCGCTGCCGCCGCGGCCCCGCGGGAGCTGCCGCTGCCCGCCCCGCTCCTGCCCCTGCCCCGGCCGCTCCGCAGGCACCGGCGCTGCGGAGCCGGGCCCTGGCGCCGGGCGGCCCGGCGACACCTACCCGTAGATCGCATCCTTGTCCCGCTTCAGAGCGTCGTTGACAGCGGAGCCCATGCTGGCCGGCATGACATTGGGGTGCGGGGCGTGGGCGCCGTAGTGCTGTCCGGCGTGGAGCGGCGGCCCATGGTTGAGGTGGTGCACCGGGGGGATCGGCCGGGGGGCGTGGGGGTCCCCGTACATGGACGCCGGCACCCCTACTCCGTCCATCCCGCCGTAGTGGGGCAGCTCATCGTACTGTCAAAAAGCGGGTCGGAAGAGAAGAACGCAAAAGCAAGAGGAGAAGAGAGGGGGGAATAAAAAAACAAACAAACAACAACAGAAGTCAGAAGAGTGTAAAGCACCCGGACAGACACAGAGTAAAACAAAACAAGAACAACCACAATAGAGAGATAAATGCTCAAAATGAAGTCAACTGGGACCGGGAGCAGGGGCTGGAGGGGCTGAAGGAGGAGTGGGGGTGCGAGAAGAGGTAAAAGGGGAAAGTGTGTTTGCCTGTCTGCGTGTGTGGGGGAAGATGGTCCTCTTCGGCACAGGCAGAAGAAACCCTAACAAGGAAACAGGGATGAAAAGGAAGGAAACGGAGGAGAGAAACTAGAGTTACTCTGCATTAGAAAAGAAGAAGAAAAAAAAAAATAAACAAGTAGAATCAAAACCAACTAGATAAATAAATCAACACTAGAAAGGAGAGAGGAAAGGTAGGGTGTATCGGGAGGAGGGGGGGTAGATAAAGGGGAAAATAATCTGAAAGTTACCAGAAACATTATTTAGTGGCAATTCCCCTTGTCCTTGTCACAGCCAGAGAAAAAAAAAAAAAAAAAAAAAAAAAAAAAAAAAAAAAAAAAAAANAAAAAAAAAAAAAAAAAAAAAAAAAAAAAAAAAAAAAAAAAAAAAAAAAAAAAAAAAAAAAAAAAAAAAAAAAAAAAAAAAAAAAAAGCAGCTATATGTGTATACATATATATACATTCGTATATACACAGACACACATATGTATTTCTTAGTCTTTGCTAGGCAGCAGCAGTAGCGGCGGCGGCAAGCAGCAGCAGCAGCAAGCTTTCCCCTGTGAAACCCGTGCTACTGAGCAGGCAGAGAGCAGGGAATTCGCGCTGCTGGGGAAAAAGCTAGAGAGGAAAAAAGCGTGGAACAATTGCAGAGAGACACACACAGAGAGACACTCATGCACACACACAAAAAGCCAGCGAATAATTTTTGCTGCTATTTTTTAATAGTGGCCGCCATCATCATCAGCAACAGAGGAGAGCAAATCGGACAGGCCCCTCTTAAGAGAGGATTTATATATAGGTAAGTGTTGGAGATTTAAACCTACCCTTTGCGCCATCAGTCTGCGCTCCAATAAACTCCTGGATGTGTCGTATATTTAATATCCCAGTCCAGCAAAGAAAGTGATTTAGAGTGAAGAAGATTCCTTTTTTTTTTTTTTTTTTTGCAACCCACTTATAGACTTCTCCTATCCTCCAATATGGGTAAATAATAGTAATAACAACAATAACAACAATATATAAAAAACAGTCAAGAACCACGATGAGTTTCTGTGTTTTCTTTTTTTTTTTTGTCTCTTTCTCTTTCCTTTTTCTGTCTCTGTTTTTCCTTTTTTCTTTCTCTACGCAAAAAAAAAAAAAAAAAAAAAAAAAAAAAAAAAAAAAAAAATTGTCAAGCCCCCAAACTGAAGGTTACGATCGGCCCGTCAGCAACCCACATGTAACCAAACTGTCGTGTCTCATGGCTTTTTGCCACTCCAGCTGTCAATCAAAGCCAGGGAATGTCAAGGTAGTGAATGAATGATGGTTGATGATGATGAAGAAGAGAGGAGGAATCTTTTTAACCCCGGTTTCTTCTTCCAGTAACTCCGTGCTCGGGTTTTGCCTTTTAGGATCGCTTATAGGGTTGTTGGTTTTGGTTTTGTTTTGTTTTTTTCAAAGTACTGTGAAGGGGGGTGGGGAAAGATGCGAAGAAAAATTGAATAGTTTGCAAAGCCCGGACTTCCCCCTCTCTCCTTTTTTCCTCCCGGCAGGTATTTTGTCTCCCTCTCTCCCTCACTCCCTGGGATGAGTGAGTGTCAGTAAGTGTTGGCAGGTTGGCTGCCGGCTGCCTTATAGAAGAGGCTCAGTTTTGCGGCGCTGATCGGCGGGAGAATGAAGTGACGGAACCCGGAAGTAGTGGTGGCCATAGCCAGTCCTGCAGCGCGGCGGCGGCGGCGGCGGGGAGCGGCGGCGGGGAGCGGCGGCGGCGGGGAGCGGCGGGGCGCGGCGGCGGGCGCGGGCGCGGGGCGGCGGGGCGCCCCAGCCGGCGGAGCGCCGGGGATGCGCAGCGCGGCGGCGGGGCGGCCGCGGCGCCGCGCGGGGGGAGCCGCGCAGCAGCCCCTGCCCCGAGCGAAGCACGGCGTGTAGGAAGGAGCGAGCGAGCGTGCGAGCGAGAGGGAGGGAGGGAGCGAGGGAGGGAGGAGGGAGGGAGGGAGCGAGGGAGGGAGCGAGGGAGGGAGGCAGGGGAGGAAGGACAGGGAGAGTGCGTGTGTGCGAGAGGGGGGAGAGGCAGGGGAAACTGCAGAGAGCGAGAAGAAAAGTGCGGTAGAAGCCCGGCCCCGGGTCGGTTTGCGCTCGATTATTTGAGCAACAAAATACCTTCCGATTACCCGCGCTGTCGGGCGTCTGGCGGCGCGCGGGGCCGCCCGCTCGGGTCGCCGGCTCCGGCCGCTGCCGCGCGCGGTGCGCGAGCGCGGGGGCAGCGCGAGCTACAGCGCGCGGGGGGGCCGCGCGGAGCTGCTGCGCCCGCGGCAGCCGCGCTGCTCCGGCACGGCGCTCCCGGGCCCGCCGGCGCGCCGCGCTGCCGGCCGGGCGGCTGCCCTCGGACAATTCATCCTGCTTTCCTAAAGATTAATTTTCCAGGGCATGGAGAGAACGCCTCGTTCAAACCGTGTTGGGCACCGCTCTTCATTAAGTGATCGCTGCTATCAAACACGCTCTGGATGTCTTGAAGGGGAGGGGGGGGCGGGGAGAGGCGGAGGGAAGAGGGGGAAATCCCTTTTAGTTTTGCGATTAGGCTGCCAGGCTTTGTAAAGGGCTTAAAAACAAAGTCATGCTCAGTCTTTTGTAGGAGAGATCCAGATGTTATGTAGATTTCTGTGTGCATGTTCGTTTTGAGCGGATCCGGCGGTGAGCGCAGTATTTACGTGTGTGTGTGTTGCTGGACTTTACCGTTTATCGACGTTGCGCTTGTGGAATGTATGCTGGAGTATTAACTCGGTAATGCCTTCTAATGGTAGTGCTAATTACAGTGGGGTTATTTAGCAAATTAAGTGAGATGATGCACCCCCCCAACCCTTGAGTACCGAATGAACTTTTCCGAACACACAGGCACACACACACACACACACGCGCGTTAATTTTGGTGCGTTTCTCTCGCCCAATCACTTCGCTGAAGCTACACCATGCCTTACCTCAGAGCAGTCAATTACCAAAGCTACCCGGGATCATCAATCATGGGGGATGCTTGAAGTTTAGGGGAGGAGCGATGGTCAAACTATCGATTGCTGCAGTTTTGTTCTCCCCAGCCCCCCACCCTCGTTCACGGTCCCCTGCACATAAAATCTAAAACAGACTATCCCGTTAATAGTGGAATTTATCAATGATTATGTACCCGTTTGTGAATGTGGCCTCATACATAGATGGCTTTTGAAAACACACGGCAGAAAATATATTATTCCGTTAGATTTTGCTTTGCTTTGCTTTTCGTGGTGATGACGATGCTTTTCAGAGGTTTAGGGTTTTTTTTTAACTTTAAGAAAATGACTTAAGGGGTAGTTATAGATATTTGGCCTGATTTTAATAGGCAAAGGGAATGAGCTCCAGAGGTCAATAAACCCCTCCAAAATGATGAATGATTGAGTACCTGTGATGATGATAGTGATTACCGGAGCAATTAAACAGTTTGATTAAATGAGCCATCATAACAATGATGTCTGCGGGAAATCAGCCCTCACGTATAAAGAAAGATAGTGTGGAGAGCTGACAAACGCCAGTGGGCATTCCTGCATGTTCCGCTAGCGCCGAGCCCTGCAGAGCAGGGCTGTATTTACAAATATGAGGGGAATACGCAGAAAAGTCCCTCTCCTACTTATAGCCAGAGTTGCACCCTGCTTAAAACCCGCCAGAAGCCGGAGAGCACACACGGGTTTTTTTTTTTTCCTAGAGGATCTCCTCCAAGATTAAAGCTAGTCCTAAGAGCAACCGAATTGCTGTGACTGACTTTCACGGGACTGTAAAGAGAGGTGAGTAGAAGAGCCCTTAGTATGTAGATCTCTTTCAAGCAGTGGTTAAGTCAATTCATTTCGCAGGGAAAAAGCCAGTCTTCTTGTGCAGTATTTTATACTCTGTCGTATAAATCGGTAACGTAATTCAAGATATTCATGGTAATGAATGCTTGGCTAATCCTTTGGGTGCGCGGAGACCTACAGAGCAGTAGGTTATGCAAATCCTTTCCTACTTTTACAGCTGTAGTTTTCTAGCAGATTTTTTTAAGAGATCTAGTCATCGGTGAATGTTATTTGTTTTCTTTTTTTCCCCCTTCTTTCTTCCCCCTCCCTGCCCCCCCCGCTCCGTGCCCCAAAGATGCCAGATTTCTCAACTTGCATGGAATCATTTGCTTGTGATGCAGCCAGCTTAGAGGACGTGGTTCAAATATTTGTAGCTTCCAAAGTTATTTTTTAACCGTGGCAGTGCAAACCTAGAGCCTTGTCTCTTGAGATATACAAATGTGCCTCTTTTAAAATAGTTTAAGTATCACCAAAGAAGAGGTCTTTCCTTATAAACTGGCTGTGCAAAAGTAATCTGCCTACATTTAAGGCTCCATGCATTTTTTTTAGACTGCAAGCTGTAAGAGAAGTTAATCAGTTTTCTTCTCAAAAAAAGTTAGATTACTTGGCTCCCATAGAAGGAATTATTTTATTGCTTAGAATATAATTTTAGACCACTTTTTTTTTTTTTGCTAATTCTATTTTTCACAGAAATCTCTGTAGCTCTCAGCTGCCCTGACTAAGAAATCCTGAGAAAACAGACTAAAGTCAAAGCTGAGAAAAAGCAACCAAAGACTTGTGCAGTGTTCAGTGCTGCTCCTTTCAATTGTTTAATTTTTTTTTTCCCCCTCCTAAAGTAATTAACCCCCTGCGCTGTCTTGCCCTGCTGTGCACGTTTGTAATCTGGGACAGGGACCAACTTTTAAAAATTATTCTAACTTGATAGAAAGTGAAATTTCATATAGTAAATGAAGATCTTTCATGTTCCTCCTGTGTCTTTTTTTTCCACGTGAAAAGAGTTGAAGCCTTTTTCCTCATCACTATCCCAGTGGATTAAAGCACACAGAGAACGTGGTTTATAAAGCGCTACAGTTTAGCCATTAAAAAGGGATCTCAATTTAGTGCCCTTAAGTGAATGTACTCATCTATTAACAAAGATGCTGCCGGGAACTTGGAGGAAAATGGGATACGTGTGAGCAGAAAGTGAGGGCTTTCACATACTTAGGTGATTTTTTATTTACACCCCCCCCCCACTAGTGACATTTCTCTTTTTAAAAAAAGCAATTCGGAAAAATTAAAATGGGTAATTTCCATTGCTCCTGAATCGCTTCCAAAGCGAGGGCTGTTTTCAGGAAAAGTGTGAGATAGATAGAGTCTGGGTGGTGACTGGTTTTTTTCCTTTTCTTAGGTGGTTTTTTTTTTGTTGTTTTTTTTTTGTTTTTTTTTTTTTGATAGATCGGCTCAAAAGTCCAAAGAGAAATGAGGTGTCCGGTATGGAAGTGCATCTCAGTCAACCGCCAGCTCCTTTTGCCGAGGCTGGAAATGGTTTTAACAGGCGGTAAAATTTCATCTTGTGGTGTCAAATTGGGGTCAGTTTGGGGTTAGCGCTCTCAGTGTCCGAGCAGGAGCTGTCCAGCTGTGTGGGGATTCATTAAGGGCAAAAGATCCGTTTCAAGAAAAACAATACAAAGACAATCAGAGGGCTAAAGATCCTCTTCAAATCGCATTTTACAAGTGCACCAGAACAAATATGGATGCTGAAACCTATTCCCTTCAAACTCCCAAATCGGCTTCTTAGCCCTCGGAAGGAGCGAGAGAGAAAATCCTCTAAAAGTTAAGAAGAGTCTGTTTTCAATCAGCCTTTCCGAAGTGTGGCATCTTAGTCCTTTGCTGGCTTTGAGGCATGCCTCTCTTGCTTGCTCGTTACATCTCTCCCCGCCTCCCTCTCTCTCTTTTTCCACAGCCTTGCAAAAGTGGATGGCACAACAGGTAATATTTCAGATTTCAAGAATAAATCCCACTGGAGATCTTAAACCGCTGTTTTGCACGTGCGTGTGTTCCTATCACAAGATTTAATGCAAATATAAAGTTTTTAGGGGGAAACAAAGCCATGCTTGCAAGAAATCCTATTGTACCCTGTAGGAAATTTTGAGCTCTCCTTGTAAGTGATCCTCCGGTCCGATGGGTAATTTAGGCTAGATTTACTTTCCGGTTCTTAGCACTTGTGGAAAGCACCTATTGCTAATCTGGTTTATTAAATTCGCATGG